CCGCCTCCCGGGTTCAAGCGATTGTCCTGCCTCAGCCTCCTGAGTAGCTGGGATTGCAGGCACCCACCACCATGCCTGACTAATTTTTATATTTTTAATAGAGATGGGGTTTCACCATGTTGCCCAGGCTGGTCTCGAACTCCAGACCCCAGGTGATCCACCCACCTCAGCCTCCCAAAGTGTTGGGATTACAGACGTGAGCCACCACGCCCGGCTGATGTTTTTTTTAAAACTCTCTTTTTTTGGTCTGCTGTTACACTAACAGTAATTTTATTTACCATCTGGCTTATTTAGTTCTGTATACTAGATAATTAATATATACAATCTTTATGATAATTACTCATTCTTACAAGTTTTTGGAAATGAACAAAGGGACTGCTTTTCCCTTTCTCTGGTAGACACACCGTAAGAAGTGGACTTTGGTTGTAGTTTAGTGGTATAGATGTTTGTAAGAAACTATTTTAGGTTGGGCGCCGTGGCTCATCCCTGTAGTCCCAGCACTTTGGGAGGCCAAAGGCAGAGGATTGTTTGAGCCCAGGACTTCAAGACCAGCCTGAGCAACATGGCAGGATCCCATCTCTGCAAAAATTAAAAAATTAGCTGGATGTAGTGGGCACATCTGTAGCCCCAGCTACTTCTGAGGGTCAGGTGGGAGGACCTCTTGAGACCAAGAAGTTGAGGCTGCAGTGAGTTGTGTTTGGGCCACTGCACTCCTGCCTGAGCGACAGAGTGTGACTTGTCTCAAAAATAAAAAACCCAGACAGTATTTAGCATGTTTTTGTATGTATATATAGTTTGCCTCAAACAATACATCAGGGGATGTAGGAAATTTTGTATGCTTTCACAAGGCATCTGAGATCCTCTGTGATCTGCCTCCTAGTTTCCTTGCAATTTTGAGCTATTTGGGAATAAAGGTTCTTTGTTAACAAATTTCCTATTTACTGCCTGTTTTCTCTTATAGCTAAAACTATTTAAATGAGTGTTTTCCACTCCATATCTCTGCAACCTCGCTGTCTACTTACCCTTCAGCCCATTCTAACTTGATTTTAGTTCCCTCACATAGCTACTCACATAGCTCCTGCAAGGTATAGACTCAATTTTGCTAAATCCAATGAACATTTCGTTGGCCTTATCTTTCCTTCTCAGAGCATTCAGCACAAATTACTTTATCTGTTTTTCTTGAAACATTATCTTCTTTGGTATTTTTGCCATAATAGCTATACCATCTTCCTAGTAACTTCATGGTCTATGGATTTTTTTTTTTTTTTTAAGAGACTGAGTCTTGCTCTGTTATCCAGGCTAGAGACAGTGGCATGATCATGGCTCACTGCAGCCCCGACCTCTGGATTCAAATGATCCTCCCACCTCAGCCTCCTGAGGAATAGCTGGGACTACAGGCATGCCCACCATACCTGGCTAATTTTTAAGTTTATTGTAGAGATGGTATCTTGCTGTGTGACCTAGACTGGTCTGGACCTCCTGGCCTTAAGCAATCCTCCCACCTTGGCCTGCCAAAGTGCTAGGATTAAAAGTGTGAGCCACCACATTCGACTGGTCCATGACTTTTAACACTACCTCTAGACTTATACTTCACAACTTTATCTTTTCAGTCCTGGCCTTTTCCCTGCCTCTAGTATATAACTACCCTCGTTTGGACTTGTAGTATGCATTTCAAATATATTATCTCTATAAGAGGTGTTTTTTGTTTTTTTTTTCATGCCAAATCTGTTTCTTTTCTAGTCAGGAACCCAGTTTTTTATCCAAAAACCTAGTTCACTTTAATCGTCCTTATTCCTCACATCCAGTAGTAATTGAACTATAAATGTTAGCAGCCACTTTTTTTAAGATTATCTTATATACTTAGCATTTATTACTAACAGCTTCTCTAACCGTTACAGCAGTTTTGCAGGGTAGGTATGTTGATTCTCTTGTTGCATATGAGGAGACGAGCTCAGTCACTTGTCCAATGTCATGTGGTCCGTAAGTGCCAGAGCTGGGAATCAGACACAGATCTAAAGATTGTGATTCTTTCAGTTTAATGATGGAGAGAAAATAATTTTTAAATTTTATTTTATTTTATGTTTATAATTTTTAAATTGAATGAGGGGGAATGCTCTAAACATATTTAACATTATGCATTAATATTGTATCACTGGTTGGTTGGTTTTGGTTTGAAAGAAACATTGTTTTTCTCAGAGTATTAACATTGTCATATTTATTTTGTAATTAAATTAGATTGTGGAGACTGAGTAATCTCATGCATGTATGCCTGTAATCCCAGCACTTTGGGAGGCTCAGGTGGGCGGATCACTTGAGGTCAGAGCTGGAGACCAGCCTAGCCAACGTAGGAAAACCCTGTCTCTAATAAAAATGCAGAAACCATCTGGGTGCGGTGATGCATGCCTGTAATCCCAGCTACTCGGGAGGCTGAGGCACGAGAATTGCTTGAACCTGGGAGGCAGAGGTTGCAGTGAGTTGAGATGGCACCACTGCACTTGAGCCTGGGTGAGGGAGTGAGTCTCTGTCTCAAAAAATAAATAAATAAATTAGACTGTGAAATACAAGATAAATATGCCACAAATATTCAGAGAATGTAAAGCTCAATGTAGCCTGGGAAAGGCAGGAAATTTTATGGACATGATCCAGTGACATTTACATGATCCAGAGACAGGACATGGAGGGAGGGCCAAGCACATATATGTCAACAGTGTTATATAGTGCAGCAATAAGCCTGTTTTGACTGGGAGGGAGGGGGGCGTTTAAACATATGATCTGGTTACTCCCTATCATAGTCCCAGTCTTTGTTAAGGTTTATAATCCAGCAGGACAAAGAAGATCAACAAATAAGTCGTCATAATAAAGTTTCTGAAGGGGGAAGTATAGTGGTAGAGCATGGCAATTGTATCTAAAATAGTCTGCAGAGTGTCAGGGAATGCTTTTTGGAGAAAGCAGCTTATGAACTGAAATCTAAACAATGAGTAGGAGTAACCCAGATGAAGAAAGGTTTTGAAGAATATCTTAGGCGGAGAGAGGAAACATGTAAAGACATAACCTTGCTGGGTCATAGGGCCAGTTCTGGAGAGGAGTCCATGAGACCAGTTCTGGAGAGGAGTTCATGAGACCGGTTCTGGAGAGGAGCTATGACTTTAACAGAAGAGTGGCATGGTCATGTCATTGTTTCAGGGGAAGAAACCTGACCCAAATTTCGTTTTTGCCTAGAGACCAAGGTAATAATAATGTTCAAGGTTATTAAGAATGGAGGAATCCTTTTCCGTAGGATTTTTACTTTATTTTTATTTTTATTTTTATTTTTTGAGACAGAGTTACGCTCTGTCACCCAGGCTGTACAGTGCAGTGGCGCGATCTCGGCACCCTGCAGCCTCTACCTCCTGGTTCAAGCAATTCTCCTGCCTCAGCCTCCCGAGTAGCTGGGACTACAGGTTCACACCACCACACCTGGCTAAATTTGTATTTTTAGTAGAGACAAGATTTCACTATGTTGGCCAGGCTGATCTCAAACTCCTGACCTCACGATCTGCCTGTCTCAGCCTCCCAAAGTGTTGGGATTACAGGCGTGCTCTGTATGCTTTTTCTTTCAGCTTTATTTTCTTTGCTCTGAAGTACCTTGCTTCCTTTCATTTTAAGTCTTTTACTGTCCTTTAAGGTTTCCTTGGGAATTTTATTTCTAAATTAATTATTTGGCATCAAGTTAAAGCTCATGTTCATTTTAAGAAGTAGAAAGAGATAAACAAATAACAGATATTGGGAGTACGTTGGTGTAGGATCATAGTTTTTTACCTCTAAACCTATTTATCAGACAACTAAAACATAAAGTTTTTTGTTTTATTATAAACCTGTTGTTTCCTGAAAACTAGTCAGAAAATCTTAACATCTCCTTCCATATGGTATAAGATTGCTCTCAGTTTCCTAATAAATTATTAACATAATTTTTGGTTTAGTAGAGACATTATTCTCTTCTAAAACCTTTTTGTAATTATGAGGAAACCAAGATATCTAGAAGCTTCAATTACTGAACTATGAAACCTTTTTGTTTTGTTTTGTTTTGTTTTGAGACAGAGTCTTGCTCTGTCGCCCAGGCTAGCGTGCAGTGGCAGGATCTCAGCTCACTGCAACCTCCGCCTCCCTGGTTCAAGCGATTCTCCTGCCTCAGCCTCCCGAGTAGCTGGAATTACAGGCGCCTGCCACCATTCCTGGCTAATTTTTGTATTTTTAGTAGAGACAGGGTTTCAGCATGTTGGCCAGGCTGGTTTCCATCTGCTGACCTCAGGTGATCTGCCCACCTTGGCCGCCCAAAGTGCTGGGATTACAGGCGCCTGCCACCATTCCTGGCTAATTTTTGTATTTTTAGTAGAGACAGGGTTTCACCATGTTGGCCAGGCTGGTTTCCATCTGCTGACCTCAGGTGATCTGCCCACCTTGGCCGCCCAAAGTGCTGGGATTACAGGCATGAGACACCACGCCTGGCCCTATGAAACTGTTTTAAGACTTAAAAGTTGTGCTCTATTGCTTATTCATTTTTTTAGGTTTAATTTACATGCCTATAATGTATGTAACTCAGAATTAGCTTCCCTTTTTTTGAATTAGCTTTTCAAAAACTAAATTCAGTAGTAAACTAGATAGAAATAAATCATCACTATGGTTTATTTTTTAGTGCAAAAGAGACAGTCATTATTATAAGACAATAGTAAGATTATATACACGTTCCCTCTGAGAATCAGCTAGTCCTGGAATCATTCCTTTTCCTGTGTGAGAGTAGCCTTTTAACAGCTATTTTGCACTGAGTTCTGTCCCTTTAAAAGTTTATCCCTATGAGGATGATAGTGTGAAGGAGACAGTAGATTGCCTGTTATTTCTGTAAGTATCTCTAAAATTAAGCACTAGACAGTGCTTAAAACTCATTAGATTTGTATTATTTTATATATATATATAAATAAAGTAATGGTGTTTTCTAATCAAAATCTAATCTTTTGACCCCTTAGCGCTGGCTGACAGAGCAGAGAGCTCAATGTCCTCATTGCCGGTAAGTGTTTCGCTATGATTATTTGTGAATTTGGAAAATAGTAAGGTCAGAATGTGCCTTGGGATTCATAAAGGCAGTTTTCCTGCAGTCAGCCCATTTCTCTTCTTCTTGAAGATAGTTGAGTAGAAATAAGCAATCTGACTAGAAAAAGAAATGCAGGGACTAATTCATGTGACTTAAAATTATGTTTACTATGTTGTACTCTGCCTCTCTTAGAAAATACTTGTGTAAGTTCTTAATTTACCTTTCATAATTAAGCAACAAATTTTTCATGTTTCTGGTTAAAAAATCCAGATAGTTAGGCCATAACTTATCTTTTATAATTAAGCAAAAAATTTTAATGTTTCTGGTTAAAAAAATCCAGATAGTTTGGCCAGGCACAGTGGCTCACACCTGTAATCCCAGCACTTTGGGAGGCCAAGGTGGCTGGATAACCTGAGGTCGGGAATTCAAGACCAGCCTGGCCAACATAGTGAAACCTTGTCTCTACTAAAAATACAAAAATTAGCCGGGCATGGTGGCACGCACCTATAGTCCCAGCTACTCAGGAGGCTGAAACATGAGAATCGCTTGAACCTAGGAGGTGGAGGTTGGAGTGAGCTGAGATTGCACTGCTGCACTTGAGCCAACGTCGCGCCATTGTACTCCAGCCTGAGTGACAGAGCGAGAGTCTGTCTCAAAAAAAAAAAAAAAAATCCATATGGTAGAGATAAATATAAAATAAAAAGGCTTCTGATTCTGATACTCCCTGCCCTGTCTTCTCACTTAATAACACTTGCAAAAGAAATTGTTGGATTTGGTATCTATTATTCTAGACTATTTTTTGTGCATGTATTTTGTAATGCCCTAATCCAGTATAATTGTGCCTATATTTAAATATATGCGTATGTGATTCTCATATGCTTTTTCTTAAAATGTATCAATGATATAATATTGTTTTGCAGTTTGCTTTTTCATGTAAAATATGGTAGGTATCTTTTCTTGATTGTATGTATATATAAGGCATTTTTTTTAAAAGTGACTAATCAATGTTATGACTATACCTTGATTTATTTATCCCCATATTGAGAGACATTTAGGTTATCTCTACTTTTGGTTTCAAAAAATAATGCTGGAGTGCCATCTGTTGCCCGTTTTTTCGTTTTGTATTCACTTTTCTTTACTTTTTATTTTTTTTGAGACAAGGTCTCGCTCTGTTGTCCAGGCTGGAGTGCAGTGGCACGATCTCAGCTCACTGCAGCCTCGACCTCCTGGGCTCAGGTGATCCTCCTACGTCAACCTGCCTCCTAACTGGGACCACTGGTGTGTGCTACCATGCCAAGCTAATTTCGTTTATTTTTTGTAGAATGAGATGTCACTGTTTTTGCCAAACTGGTCTTGACTTCCTGGGCTCAAGGAATCCTACCACCTTGACCTCCCAAAGTGCTAGGATTGTAGGTGTGAACCAGTGTGCCCAGTCCCACCTTTCTTATATTATCTTATAAGACCAGCACTGTCAAGTAGAACTTTTTATAATGATGAAAGTGTTCTATGTCTACACTGTCCAGTGTGGTAGCCACTAGCTACGTGTGGTTGTTGATCACTTGAAATGTGTCTAGTGTGGCTATATGATGAAATTTTATTTAGTTATTTTTGAAATGGAGTCTCACTCTTTCTCCAGGCTGGGGTGCAGTGGCGCAATCTTGGCTCACTGCATCCTCAATCTCCCTGGCTCAGGTGGTCCTCCTACCTCAGCTTCACGGGTAGCTGGGACTATAGGCACATGCCACGACGCTTGGCTAATTATTTGTAGAGACAGGGTTTCATCATGTTGTCCAGGCTGGTCTCGAACACCTCGGTTCAAGCAATCTACCCACCTCAGCCTCCCAAAGTGTTGGGATTACAGGCATGAGCCACCATGCCAACAGTACAGCATTAGACTCAGAAGTTGAGAATTCAGTCCATATTCTGAGTCATATGTTTTTGTTTAGTTTTTTTGTTTGTTTTTGTAAATGACGTGTTAATATGGTGAAAATAAGTTGCAAAGAGTATTTTTCATTGTGTCTTTTTCTTTTTTCTTTTTTTTTAGTTTTAATAGTGTCATGGGGCCAGGTAGTGGCTCATACCTGTAATCCCAGTACTTTGGGAGGATCACTGGAGGCCAGGAGTTTAAGACCAGCCTGGGAAATATAGCAAGATCCCTGTCTTTACAAAAAATTTTAAAATTACCTGGATTTGATGGTGTGCTGCTGTAGTCCCAGCCACTCAGGAGGCTGAGGCAGGAGGATCGCTTGAGCCCAGGAGGTCAAGGCTGCAGTGAACCATGATCATGCATGCTGCTGCATTCCACCCTGGGTCATAGAGTGAAACTCTCTCTCTTAAAAAAAATAGTGTTATGGTATGAGTATTTTTGTGCTCTCTATTTTGAGAAATGTGTTTATTTTATAAAATAATCTGAAATTCATGAATTAGTGTATGTGTATGGATTTTCTCCCCAGTGCTCCACTCCAGCTACGAGAACTAGTAAATTGTCGTTGGGCAGAAGAAGTAACACAACAGCTTGATACTCTTCAACTCTGCAGTCTCACCAAACATGAAGAAAATGAAAAGGACAAGTATGTCCTCAATTTCTTTGTTCAATATGGAATGGATTTTGCCTTTGTGTTGTTTAATGACACTATATTGGTAGTTGCCATTTAGTTATTTATGAATAAGTAGTGTTAAATTTCTTAAGTTTTTAATTCTTTCAATCATGTGCTGTTGCTGTTAAGTAACATATTCTTATTATGTTTATTTAACAGCGGTTATTTCATGCCATGTATATACACAGACACCCCTTGCCCTCTCCTCCCCCCATACAGAAAGTGCTTTGCTAGATGATAGGCATACAGAGGTAAATGAGACATAATTTCTGTTAACTGCTTAATGGGGACACAGTGATAATACTGTGTTAAGTCATTTGAGGGACAAGAGTGAATAAATGGTCTTATGTTCCATGATTGAAGAATTTTGAACGTATCTGGAGAGTTGTTATGGGGAGCAGATAAAGAAAGGAAAGAATGATGTGGCAGTGATTTGTTTTTATAGATGAAGAAGCTACAACATGGTTAATTGTAAGGCTTCACTGTCCAGCAATAGTAAAATAACTTGAATTAGGTGAGAGTCCAGGACCCTTGAATGTTTAGAAATAAAACTTGGTCACTTTCTGTAGAGTCACAACATGGTAAAGCAAGAGGTTGAAACCTCACAGGTCATTAGAAAAAATTTTATCTGTTTCTTTATACTGAGGAACTAGAACCATAGAAATAAGAGAACAGGGCATGGTGGTGTGCACCTATAGTCTCAGCTACTTGGGAGGCTCAGGCAGGAGGATCTCTTGAGCCTAGAGGATGGCTTAGGTAACATAGCAAGACCCTCATCTCTTAAAAAAAGAAAAAGAAAAAAAAAGAGGCTTAATTATGGTAGTATATGGTAGTATAACACCATATTCTGATAATTATGGTAGTATAACACCATATTCTGATGCATAATCAGAATTAAAACCTATTATTCGGGCGGGTGTGGTGGCTCATGCCTATAATCCCAGCACTTTGAGAAGCCGAGACGAGTGGATTACCTGTGGTCAGGAGTTCAAGACCAGCCTGGCCAATGTGGAGAACCCCGTCCCTACTAAAAATACAAAAATTAGCTGGGTGTGGTGGTGGACACCTGTAATCCCAGCTACTTGGCAGGCTGAGGCAGGAGAATCACTTGAGCCCAGGAGGCATAGGTTGCAGTGAGCTGAGATGGTGTCATTGCACTCCAGCCTGGGTGACAGAGCAAGACTCCGTCTCCCCCAAAAAAAACTAAAACTAAAACTAAAAAGCTGCTATTCAGGTTTAACTGGACTTTTAAGGAATTCTGTCATTTGTAGCATTGTGGAGGTCTCACCAAAAATAGTTATTTAATTTCTTTTCTATATAATAACACATTTCTTAGGTGAACACTTAGGTGTTTTTCCTCTGAAGTGGTGGGTATTACTATTTGGAAAGACCCTTTACCTCTTGTTGGGCCTGTTCTATTAGAGCCTCTCAAAAGGAATGGACTGCTACAGTTTGCTAACCTGCTAGTCTTTCTTATTTGCTGTTTGATGCCTACTGGCCTCCCCTTTTTGCAGGTGAATACAGGCTGTTGATTAAGAGGAGTTTTGGCAAATTTTCTATATTGTAAAAGCTATATTATAAATTTGGTATTTTGGAAGTCTTGCTATGTGAGCTTCCAAACAGTATCTGATATATTTTTTCTAACCTTTATTAATTTCCCATTTGATACTCTGATTACTTATGAATTAGAAATATAAAATATAAACCTATGTAAGTATTTTCTCTAAGATCGGTGTCCTTCATCAATGAAATGCTTTTTTAAAAATGCGTGAGTGGGTCAGGCACAGTGGCTCATGCTTGTAATCCCAGCGCTTTGGGAGGCCGAGGCAGGTGAATCACCTAAGGTCAGGAGTTCAAGACCAGCCTGGCCAACATGGTGAAACCCTGTCTGTACTAAGAATACAAAAATTAGCTGAGCGTGGTGGTGGGCGCCTGTAATCCCAACTACTTGGGAGGCTGAGGCAGCAAGAATTGCTTGAACCCAGAAAGTGTAGGTTGTAGTGGGCCAAGATCACGCCACTGCATTCCAGCCTGGATGACAGAGCTAGACTCCGTCTCAAAAAAAAAAAAATTGCAAGAGTATATCTACTTTATAAACAATAGAATACTTAAAACATTTTAATTATGGTAAAATACACATAACATAAAATTTACCATCTTAACCACTTTTAAGTGCTGTCTCTTATACACATCTAGATGTGTATAAGAGACAGCTCCTCAGCCTCCCAAAGTGCTGGGATTACAGGTGTGAGCCACCACGCCCGGCAATCATTTTTAAATGTACAATTCAGTTATGTTAAGCATGTTCACATGTTCAACCAATCTCCAAAACTTTTTAAACTTGCAAATCTGAAACTGTACCCATTAAACCACTCCCCATTCCCTCTTCCCACCAGCCCCTGGCAGCCACCATCGTACTTTCTGTTTCTATCAGTTTGAGTACTCTGGATACCGCATATAAGTAAAACCGTACAGTACCTATCTTTTTGTAACTGATTTATTTTACTTAGCATAATGTCCTCAAGGTTCATCCATGTGTCAAAATTTCCTACCTTTTTAAGGCTGAGTAATATTATATTGTATGTATATGTCATATTTTGTTTATCCATTCATCTGTCAGTGAAAATGGCGTTGCTTCCACCTTTGGGCTGTAGTGAATAATGTTGCTACGAACATGGATGTTCATGTCTTTGAGACTCTACTTTCAGTTCTTTTGGTTATGTAATCAGAAGTAGCATTGCTAGATCGTATGGTAATTCTATTTTTAATTTAAGTTTTTAAGGAATCTCCATACTGTTTTCCATAGTGACTGTACCATTTTACAAAAAGTCCCACCAACAGTGCACAAGGGTTCCAGTTTCTCCACATCCTGGCCAACACTTGCTTTTTTTTTTGTTTTTTTATAGCAACCATCCTAATATGGTATGAGGTTAGGATTCACATTTCTGTAATGATTAGTAGTGATGAGCACCTTTTCATATGCTTACTAGAGATCTTTTGCTCATGTTTAAATGGGAGTTTTAAAAATTTATTTGTTGAATTATAGGTGTTATTTATATATTCTGGATATTAAACCTTCATTCTTCTCTCTCTCTCTTTTTTTTTTTTTTTTTTTGAGGCAAAGTCTTCCTCTGTTGCCCAGGCTGGAGTGCAGTGGTGTGATTATCAGCTCACTGCAACCTCTGCCTCCCGGGTTCAAGTGATTCTTGTGCCTCAGCCTTCTGAGTAGCTGGGATTACAGGCGTGTACCACCACGCCTAGCTAATTTTTTGTGTTTCTAGTAGAGAAGGCGTTTTCACTATTTTGGCCAGGCTGGTCTCAAACTCCTGGCCTCAAGTGATCCATCTGCCTTTGCCTCCCAAAGTGCTGGGATTACAGGCATGAGCCACCACCACACCCGGCCTGTAGTTTATTTGTGTATATGGTGTAAAGTAAGGGTCTGTGTTAGTCTGCTAGGTCTTCCATAACAATACTGCTGAGTAGCTTAAACAATAGAAATTTATTTTCTCACAGTTCTGATAGGTGTTAAGTCCCAGATTAAATGCTGGTAGTGTTGGTTTTTGGTGAGACCTCTCTTTCTCCTTGACTTATAGATGGCCACCACCTAGCTCTGTCCTCACATGATCTTTGCTATGTGCATGTGCACGCCTAGTGTCTCCTCCTCTTATAAAGGACACCAGTGCTGTTGGATTTGGGTCCTGCCCTTATGATCCTTACTTAACCTTAATTACTTTCTTAAAGGCTCTGTCTGCTAATACATTCACACTGGGGGTTAAGACTTTACCCTGTGAATTTGAGGGGGGACATAGTCAATCCATAACAGAGTCTAACTTTATTGTTTTCCATGTGAATATCCAGTTTAAAAGAAAGTTTAAAATTGAGTTGTTCATTTTCCAGGAGGGTCTAGTATTAACTCGTGCAGTTAATCATGTGTCTTGATTATTGTTATCATTGACCACATGTAGGAAAAGTACTTGTGCATGCTCATGTAGGTATAAATGCATAATCAATATTATTAAGCACATGCCCAGAATGTAGTAGTACAATAGAATTTACCATCTGTAGTGCTGCTTGGAAATGATGCAATATATATGATGTCTTTAAGAAGCAAATCTGTATTTTGCATGTGATTATAAAGTCCAGATCAATGAAAACAGTACTTTAAAAAAGTTGTCCACATAAACTTCTTTAGCTTACTTTACAGAAGCCATGGAGTACATTTTATACTGTGTTTCTTGAGACATAATCATTTAAAATTGACCTGTTTGCTCAAGCTTAAGAATTTGTGGAGGTGATAATGTTCCAATTTTATTTAATTTATAACTTTATTTTCTTTTCATAATGTATAGATGTGAAAATCACCATGAAAAACTTAGTGTATTTTGCTGGACTTGTAAGAAGTGTATCTGCCATCAGTGTGCACTTTGGGGAGGAATGGTGAGCAGAACAAATTCAGTATTTTTTTTTTAGTTAGAGACTAGAAGGCACTGAAATACTTATTCAGATAGAAAATAGTGTCATTATGCTCTCGTAGAATGAAAATTAAAATGCATCTGCTTTATAGATGCTTTATTAAAGGTATCGTACTTTTATTCTAGAGAACCTTGTTTGTGCGGTTTAATGTAGGACATGGGCCCCTTACATAAATATTTTAACCTCTAACACCTATGCAACATATCCTCTATTCATTTGCAAATCTTTTTGTTGTAGGATCCAGGTCACTTTTTTCATTAAAGGTCAGTTGATCGATGTACTGGCCAGGGTTTCCAATTTTAGTTCCTTTAAAATGGAGCAAGAACTTAGACACTTGTGAAACAACATTGAGTGCACATATCTAGATCTTATAATTATTTTCTGTTTTTTAGATTGTTTTTTCCAATTGAATTCAAGAGCAGTTTTTAAAGACAGTCTGCCATTATTGAGCTTGAAGCATTGAAGTTAGTTTTCTTAGAAGCAGCTTTTTTATTTTAAAGACATGTTCTGTTGTTTACTGAATACTTTTTTTTCTTGAGAAAAAATTTCGCACTCATTGCTGAGGCTGGAGTGCAATGGTGGGATCTCGGCTCACCACAACCTCTGCCTCCCGGGTTCAAGTGATTCTCCTGCCTCAGCCTCCCTAGTAGCTGGGATTACAGGCATGCGCCACCACCACGCCTGGCTAATTTTGTATTTTCAGTAGAGACAGGGTTTCTCCATGTTGGTCAGGCTGGTCTTGAACTCCCGACCTCGGGTGATCCACCTGCCTCAGCCTCCCAAAGTGCTGGGATTACAGGCGTGAGCCACCGTGCCTGGCCTCTGAATACTTAATTAAATGATCTCCTTACAATATTAAGTACAATTGGCCTAAATAGGTTGAGAATAAATACAATGGATTCTCAGTGAGGAAAAATAAGTGATGGGGGAAATGGAAGTGGGTAGGTATCTAGAGTTCCCATGAGAATTGATCATTCTGTGGACGTCAGTCAGTATGTTTTACCTAGAAAGTGACAGGCCAGATTGGTTGAGTAGTGCTCAATTCAGAGAGCTTTCTGTTAGAATTTGAATATTAATGCACTGACTAGAAAAAATTAAGAAGTTCTTACATTTAATACTTTAAATACATAGGTTTTGTAAGATAACAAGTGGAGACTTTTTTTCTATACTTAAAGTGAACATGTAAAAATCTACATCTTTTTTGGAGACAATAATGGGATACTTTGGCTAAATAAGACAATTCTAGTAAGAACTTATAGGAGGCTTCTTATATTAAAAATTTAATAATTCTGGTTACCAATCAAAATTATTTTTAGGTAGTTAGCTATAAAAATTGTTCTTTGAGTTGAATGCAACTGAATTTGTGAGGTTACTACAGAACTAGCCTTCTATCTCTGTAGTAATTCTGTGGGATGGAAAATGGGTTCATTGCTTTTGTTAATTTTGTATCCTGGGCTTTTTCTTCGAGCATCTTTCTAATTCATTCACCTGTGGTAAAGACTAGGGATTTGGTGATGAACATATCAGACAATTAATTACATATTTAATTGGTGTGATAAATTGGAGGAATAAATACAGAGAGCTGATGAGGATGCATAACTATAGCAGCCGATCCTGTAAATCTGAGCTGCAAAGGATGAGTAGGATTAAGACAAACTAAGATGGGAGAAGGAAGATGGAGAATTATTATTATTTGCTTTGTTTTGTTTTTTCGAGATAGAGTCTCACTCTGTCACCCAGGCTGGAGTGCAGTGGCATGATCTCAGCTCACTCCAACCTCCGCCTCCTGGGTTCAAGTGGTTCTCCAGCCTCAGCCTCCTGAGTAGCTGGGATTACAGGCGTGTGCCACCATGCCCAGCTAATTTTTATATTTTTTAGTAGAGATGGGGTTTCACTATATTGGCCAGGCTGATCTCGAACTCCTGACCTCAGGTGATCCACCTGCCTCAACCTCCCAAATTGCTAGTATTGCAGGCATGAGCCACCGTGCCTGGCATTATTATTGTTTTTGGTTTTTATTTTTAAAAAATTATTATAATTTTTTGGTACAAAGTCTCTCTCTATCACCTGGGCTGGAGTACAGTGACCCGATCACAGCTCACCGTAAACTCTGCCTCCCAGGTTCAAGCAATTCTCATGTCTCAGCCTCTTGAGTAGCTGAGATTACAGGTGTGTGCCACCATCCGTGGCTACTTTTTGTATTTCAGTAGAGACGTGTTTTCGCCATGTTGGCCAGGCCAGTATTGAATTCCTTGGTTCAAGCGATCTGCCCTCCTTGGCCTCCCAAAGTACCAGGATTATAGGCATGAGCCACTCCCCCCAGCTGAGAATTATTTTTTAATAAGAGGGAGTAATTTTTGTAAAGTCCTGGTATAAAGAAGTTTGAGGACGTGGAAGAAAACTAGTGTTGCCTTAGAGAAGAGTGAGTGACTGATAAGGTTGTAGCAGATGATTTGGGCTGTGGCTAAAGATTTTGGTTCTTTTTAGTAAGTTAATTTCTAGTTAAATGAGTATTTTGCTAAAGCCCTTTATGTACAATGTTGAAAGAGTTCCTGCATGGACTAAGTGATTTTAAGCAGGCACTGGCCTGCTTCAACAAAATTAATTAGCTAATAAGATAAAGTTCATTTGAAATATTTACCAGTTTATTAGTGTCCATAGAGTGTTACACAGGAATGTAAATGCAGATGAGATATGTGAAAGTATTCTAAAGCTACTCTAATTTAAATAGCATGGCGGACATACCTTTAAACCTTTGGCAGAAATTTATGAGCAACATGTCACTAAAGTGAATGAAGAGGTAGCCAAACTTCGTCGGCGTCTCATGGAACTGATCAGCTTAGTTCAAGAAGTGGTAAGACTACTACTAAAATACAATTATTTTGTTTTTAATCTGTAATGTATAATAATATATTTATATAAGTTAATCAGATGTTGAAATCAAGATTTTCAAGATTTGTAAATTTGATAGGCTGTACCTATAGTCAAATCCCATAAATTTCAGAGTATCTGAGAAATTTCCATACAAAACCCCTGGCTTGTAAGGAAGCAGTTGGAGTCAGAGAATTACCACCTATGCAGAATTAGAAAATCAGTGAAATTAAAAAGTCCATTTGTTACAGAGTCAATAATTAACTTATTTTTTCTTTTTTTTGAGACGGAGTTTCACTCTTGTCCCCCAGGCTGGAGTGCAGTGGCAAGATCTCAGCTCACTGCAACCTCCACCTCCCGGGCTCAAGTGATTCTTCTGCCTCACCCTCCCCAGTAGCTGGGATTACAGGTACCTGCCACCATGCCTGGCTAATTTTTGTATTTTTAGTAGAGACAGGGTTTCACCATATTGGCCAGGCTGGTTTCAAACTCCTGACCTCATGATCCACCTGCCTTGGCCTCCCAAAGTGCTAGGATTACAGGCGTGAGCCACTGTGCCTGGCCCTAATAATTGACTTCTAAACAGAATCAATATTGACTTTTACAGTCATTCATTAAGTTATACACTCTTTGGATCTCCAGCTTTTGGGTGAGTTTCTTTTGCTAAGGAATGAACTATTTGTGATGTCCTGATTTAGAACTCCACAGAGTTGAAAGTGTAATATTTAACATTACTCTTTAGATATTGTATAGGTCAAACAGCTTTAGTGGGCTATTTATAATGTTATTTCTGTGAAAAAGTGTGATAAGCCCCAAAGAATGAAATACTAAGCATATTTTTAGAATACATTTTGTTTCAAGTTGGCAGAATGACAGTCATAAGTGAGGTTTATGGACCATTTCCTAACTTAAAAAGAAGTTTGTGGACCATATGCTAAATTAAAAACATGCCTTCTTTGTTTTACCCCTTTAGGAATCAAGAACCAAGTGATCATTTATAACATTCTTTATGGGGAAAATTTGTGTTTTTGATTGCATGTCTGCCGTTTTGAAATATAAGCGAGTTGGGTCATTTCCATTTGACCTTCCTCTACCTTTTTCCTATTACCTATTCTAGGCAATATTATAATGTGGTGCTTCTGTTTCTAAAATCTACCCCCTTAAAATTATTCTTACCTGTTTATCTTCTAGGAAAGGAACGTAGAAGCTGTAAGAAATGCAAAAGATGAGCGTGTTCGGGAAATTAGGAATGCAGTGGAGATGATGATTGCACGGTTAGACACACAGCTGAAGAATAAACTTATAACACTGATGGGTAAGTGTTTTTGTATGCTGTTGGAGTACCTGGTGCTTTCAGCTTCTTTGAGATTCAGTCTTTGAAGAGGAAGGGTGGTGGTCCTAGGAAGGAATCTTGAGATTTTAGGCAACTCCATGTTGTTAAAGTTTAGACAGATAAATGTTTGACTTGTATTTAGAAATGGTAGGAGATAAAAGTTTTCATAGCCATTTGGATGAAAATCCAAGTTTTCATAGCCATTTGGATGAAAATCCTAATGGCCACTGGGCATTATTGTTAGGTAGCTTTTTCTCCAAATCTAACAGAATTCCTTCTGCTAACGTTCCATATCCTTTCCATCCGTTTTCATTGAGGATGAAGAAACTGACATTTGTAAATACCAGCGTCATCCCCTGCCAGTTTTTTCTTAGAGATTTAAAGTCTCAGCTTTTGATTTCTAGTAGGGTTCATTTTACATATGTTTAATTATATTTATTGGTGATCTTTTGCTTTTCAAAGATTCCTTCATTCTTCTTTGATTGTGGAGCCTGGTATTAAACTTAAAATTTAAGTAAAAATTTGATCCAATGCTATAGTTTGTTTTGTTTGATTTGTTTTGGTGACCTTAGTCTTTCCAGTGTTTTGCTGACTGAAACCAGCTTTGCATTTTTTTTAGCATAGTCCAAAGTGAAATATATATACTTTAAATAAGGTGTGAACAAAGAATTTTTTTTTTTGGCTGTCTTGATTCTCCGAAGAGTTTAGCCATATCTTTGTGTCATCCAAAATAATGATTTTATCCATTTTATTTTTAACATTTAAAAAACGAGATGTAAATATCTTTGAGTTTGTATATTTGTATATTATTTCATAAATTGCTTTTCTATTATAATACTATACTATTTAATATCTGATTTTTAGTTTTTTTCCCACAGACCAGGCAATTAGACAAAACCTGTAGGTATTGATTATACTGGTCACAATGCCACTTAAAGATTTCATGTAAATGAAAATCGTAATTGTGCTTAGGTCCTCAGTTGCAGTCATACATGTAGGTGATCTTAGTTTTTCAGAACTTTAGATAATATTTGAGATCCCTTTAAGTTCATTAAGCCATGTAGAGTGCTGGATGTTGATACATATTAGGACTTTAAAATTGAGGGGATCTTGAATGTTGATGTAATCTTCAGTAGTAGCCAGATACACATTTGCATATGGTGTTGTTTTTCTTGAGTGAATTTGTTCATTGCTTCATTTATTTAATTGAATCAACTAAAAGCTAAATAATACCATAGCACAGATCTCATAAGTTTATTAATTTTGCTACCTGTGTAACTCCGTGAAATAACTTCCCTTTACAATAACTGAACTTGCCCTGCTTTTGTGGCTTTCAAATTATTTTTCATTATGAAAAATTATAATTTGTGATTTCCAAGATAGCTTTTATGATTAAATAGGATTCTTTCTAAGGTTAAGAGGTGGGGAGAAGGATATTTTCAGGATTAGTATATCTTTAGAATAGTCTCATAAGCCTCAGATTTTTAATTCATACCGTAATATCTGCCACTAATTTATTATTAGTAGTATTAGTATTATTATTATTGAGACGGAGTCTCGCTCTGTCATCCAGGCTGGAGTGCGGTGGTACTATCTCGGCTCACTGCAACCTCCGCCTCCCAGGTTCAAGCAATTCTCCTGCCTCAGCCTCCCGAGTAGCTGGGACTACAGGCACGTGCCACTACCCTTGGCTAATTTTTTTTGTTTTTAGTAGAGATGGGGGTTTCACCATGTTGGCCAGGCTGGTCTTGAACTCCTGACCTGAAGTGATCCACCTGCCCCCACTTCCCAAAGTGCTGGGATTACAAGTGTGAGCCACCACACCTGGCCTCTGTCACTAATTTTTTTTTTTTTTTTTTTTTTTAGATGGAGTCTCACTCTGTTGCCCAGGCTAGAGTGCAGTGGCAAGATCTCAGCTCACTGCAACCTCTGCTTCCCAGGTTCAAGCGATTCTTCTGCTTCAGCCTCCCAAGTAGTTGGAACTACAGGCACATGCCACCACACCCTGCTAATTTTTGTATTTTTAGTAGAGGCAGGGTTTTACTATATTGGCCAGGGTGGTCTCAAACTCC